CTGTAAAGATTTACAGCCTTGGAAACCCCGGGTAGGGTCACTATGAGTCGGAACCAACTCCACGGTACTTAACAACAACAACAAGACAACTAAGGTGTATAGGTGTTCCCTTAATATTTGTTCCCCTTTATTCTGAAAACTCTGTCGAACTAGTGAAAATTTCTGAGCAGATTGTTACTTTAGTTTCAATCTATCTTAGTTATCTAATGCTGCTATAGCAGAAATGCCACAAGTGAATGATTTTAATTTAGGAGGCTAGAAGCAGTGGCTCTGGAGAAAGGTTCCTGTCTCCTTTAAATATCTATAGGCCCAGCATTCCTTGGAGTTCTCCACATGACTTGGTATCAACTTTCTTCAGGATCTAGGAACTTCACGGCACAGGGACCCCAGGTACAAAGGACGCACTCCAAACTCAGCTCTCCTATCTTGCTGGTAGTAGGTCCCTCCTGCTCTGCTCAAGTGTCTCCTTTTCTCTCTCATAAGATAAAAGGCAGTGCATGCTACACCCTTGGGAATGTCCATAAATCAGATCATGATGGTGGTTGGATTAAGGATAATAGAGTCCTGGTGAGGCGCAATAGGGTAAGCACTGGACTGCTAACCACAGCTTGGTGGTTCAAGCCCACCAGTCACTCCTTAGAAACCCTATACAGGTTCACTGTAAGTCAGAATTCAATGATAACAACATCCCACCCTTAATCCTCTCATTAGTTTATCACATCAAATCACATCATGGGGAATAGCTACATCTCAACTGCTGAACCACTGAGAAGCCTGGTCTAGTCAAGATGACAAAAACCTTTTAACTATCACACAAATCTCCCTATAAACCCAGGCAAATAGTTGTCCAGACTTGTCTGTAACACCTCCAGTGACAAAAATATTCAATGTATTATGTCCAGAAGCAGTCCACTGCATTTCCATCCAACTTTAATCATTAGCTCTTTCTTTCTTAGGTTAAACTGAAACTTCCTTGGGTGACAAGCAAATCTAATCCCTTTTCCACATGATAAGGTAACACAATTAACTGGGAGCAGATTGGGGAGGGGAGTCCATTTTGAACATGCAACACATTTGAGGCCTGCTATGTGCATGTCTATAAGAGTCCTGGTGTGGAGCTGTGGGATAAAGCACTGGACCACAGGTTGGTTTGAACGCACCTTGGAGACCCTCAGCGTGGCTATGAATCGGAACTGACTTGATGGCACTTAACAACAACATAGTTCAGTAAAAAGATCAAAGATGTCTCTTAAAGGACAGTATTTGAAGCTGTGAAAATCAATGACATTGTCATGTAGGGGGCAGAGCTACTAAAAGACAGAGGACTGGTCAATGAGGTACAAAGAAAGTAAATAAGTGATTTGTGGAAACAAATGTGGTGAGGCAATCAGAGAACCTGTAAAGTAGTCATTAAATTTGGTAACAGGTCACTGCTGATCACTGACAGAGAGCTGGAATTCTGTTTCTCCAGGCTACTAAAAGAGGGCATTTGAAAAAGTAGCAGCAGCAAGTATAGACAAGTTTCAACCAGTGTATTAGTTCCTGAAGATGTTAAGACAGGTTCTCCAAATAAGAGTCCCAAGCTCCTATCTTTTAGAGAAACACTGCCTAGTATAATCCCTTCTACTAATTAAGGTTGATTTTAACTCCAAGGTTGGTGGTTCAGACTCAGAAACCCTATACAGGGTCATCGCTATTAGTCGGAACCGACTCTACAGCACTTAACAACAGTAAAGAAACATATTTTCCTGTTTAAATGCTCCTTAGAGGCAAGAATGACAAGACTTTGTCTCTTGTGCTTTGGACACATTAACAGGCGGGACCACTCCCTGGAGAAGGACATTATTAGTAAAAAAGAGGAAGACCCTCAATGAAATGGATTGACACAGTAGCTGCAACATGGGCTCAAACATCCTAACAACAATTGTGAGGATGGCACAGTATTTCCTACTGTGAGTTGGAAAGGACTTCACAGCACCTAACAACAACAATCCTGTATTTCCCTAACTTAACTGCACCATACCTGATTTGTCACATAATACCTATAATACAGTGAGAAATTAGTGTTTCCTGAAAGATAATTCAGCAAATACAATGAGCAGAAGAGGAGAGAATAGACAACGGTTTAAGGGTCTATTTGGTATCAAGGGAATTTTTTTCTTTTTTTTCTAAAAATGGAAGAAACATATATGTTTATATGCTAATGTAAAGTAACCCATGTAAAGTGAAAAGCCAGAAAGAATGAAAGGGAAGAGAGCAAGCCAGTCTCCAGCTAAGGAACTGCTTCAGCTATAAAACATTAGCTCCCCTGATTAAGTCTAGTGATCACAAATAGGTTACCTATTCCAGTTTGGTACAGTTTCATATTCTAATTCTATTTATATGATAATATATATGGATATAAATTATATGTGAATATAATGGCTTATATTATCTTCCTCAGATGGTTATCTAGACAAAGTTAAGGGCAGATAATTGAGAAACTGTTTTAATTCTCCTTGAATACAGATTTCTGTGTCCATAGAATTTGAGTGACTCACCCAGGCCATTTGTCCTTAGGGTGTACTTTTGAACCTTGAGCCTTTAAGGAACTGGTTCTCTTGGAGTCACCTCTGGTACTGGACTCTTTTGGAGAATTATCTATATGCAGTCTGATTCCAGAAGCAGGAACTCCAGGGTCTGACTGGAAGCTGTGTTTTAGGACATATGGCATGTCCTTAATGGTTCTGATTTTATAACTGACTGACCCTGAAGCCCTGCATGTGCTCTGAGAAACCAACATGAAAGTAATTTCCAGTGATTCTCAGGAGATGACACTGCCTGGACCCTGCTTATATAACCTGCTTTCACTATACACACTTTGAGCATCTTCATAAACTTTCAGTTTATGTTACCTAATTCATACTATATCTACTAACAATAAATATGTTCTGTTCCACTGGGTTTTGGTATGTCTCTATGCATTTAAGTTTTTAGCATTAGACAGATTGATTCACTAGAAAGAGAGTCATGGTCTCCACTCTTCTCTCCAAAGTTAGGCCTGGGCCAGAGAGAAGGGTGCTCATATAGGGAGCTCAATGTTCCATTCCCCCTGCTTAGACAGGGAGAACTCTAGCACAGGATAGGCAGAGAGGGGAAATCTAAAAATAAAGCTCTCTGAAGAAACTGTCTTGCCTAAAGAGCAGCTTCCCACGCACAATGGAGTGCCACATCTGCGGGGGCTGGAAGCATAGAACGGAACAATCCTGACCAAATCACATAAGAATTACCCTTCCTTGGGGGAAGACAGCACATTTTGACTGCCCCCCATTAGTACCCCAGTGTCTAGGCTGCAGACCGGAGGCACAGGCTTAGTGACAGAACGCAGGATTTTCTTTTCCGGACTTAAAAGATCACCAATGACTACTCCAACATTCCCACCAGTCTCTTCCTTTCACAGCAGGAGGTGAGTGCAGCAAATGTTCTCAACACACAAGGACACAAGTTGAGGGTTCATTTTAGAAAAGAACATGAAGAGCTCTAGTAGGCTTCAGGCTCAAAGATGAGCTGTAGGGTCAGGGACTACCAACTGAGGAAAAAGAAAATCAAGCATTGTGAAAAGAACTGCAATTAGCATTTACATTGGTTCCCTATCATCTCAGACCCTGAGTACAGTGCAGTTGTCATGTTGCCAGGCAACTAGCAAATGTAACCTCCCCTCCCCCATCAGGTTTCACAGGCCACTAGACAAAGCCAGCCAAAGTTCAGCTCAAGACTTTAATGCAACTCCACACCCACACCTAAGCACACAGTTACTTCTGGCTCAGAGAAGTAAACCCATCACCTCTTTCTCTAAGAATTTTAATCTTGGAGAGATACGAGGGGCTTCAAAGAGTTCCTGGGAAAGTTCCATTATCTTTTCATTTCACTTTTCCATGAACTTTCTGAAGCCCCCTCATACAATTTACTTACACAAGATAGTTGGAGTTCTGCCAAGAAGCCAAGGCAGGAAGAGGGGGGAAAAAAAACAAAAACCTGTTGCCATGGAGTGGATTCCAACTCATAGCAACCCTATAGGACAGAGTAGAACTGCCCCCATAGGGCTTCTAAAGCTGTAAATCTTTATGGAAGAAGACTGCTACATCTTTCTCCCATGGAGCAAATGGTGGATTTGAACTCTAATTTTTGGTTAGCAAAATGCTTAACCACTGCACCACTAGGGCTCCAGGAAGGAAGACGGAAACTAGCCCTAATTCTACAAGGAGTCCATAGTGTTCATGTAGCAGTCTAACTCCCAAGGAGATTTGTACTTTGACCTGAAAAAGTATTATACTATGCCTCAAGCTTCAGAAGTTCAACCTTGGACTATATCTCAGAACATGATGTCAGCAGCAACAGGAAATATACTTGATGTCATATATCTGCTCCAGTCCCATGATTCATAGCTTATAGCAGACCAGTAGACGAGGGCTGAGGATGAGAGGGTAAAGGAGGGATGAAGACACAGTATATATATATATATATATATATATACACACACACACACACACACACACACACCAGAATGCAGTAAACTGTCAGTTCTTTGGTCTCTTGAAAGTTTTTTGTCATCCTGTACCAGAACACAGTGATAGTTGATATGCTCAGATACAAATCCTGATGTCTATTATGCATATGTGCAAGGGGAAGAGGGTACCAAGTTTTCCCTCAAATCACAGATTGCAAGCAAAGTACTTTGAACACTCAAGTGCTAGCTATCTGAATGCTGACTAGCAACAACCACCCAACAATATTTTACATTTACAGCAAGCTGAAATTTTCCCATACTGAGTCATTCATGAGGGAGAAGGGAGGAGATACTGACTGACCATAAAATACATAACCTGAACACACAGTAAGAAGTGCTATTTTTTTAGAACTGGGAGTTACACACTCCATACTTCACTAGTTAAACAAGAAGGGTGGATTGGCACAGAGCTCCCCTCTTTCAGAAGAGTCTGCTGCTCAGATGTTCCGCTTACCTGACATACAAGGACCTCTTTTCACTTGTTCGAAGGGACCCAGACCCAGAGCTCATGCTGCTGTTCATCATTTGCTCTCGCAAGTCATGTATCTTCGATTCAAAGCGACTATATTCTATCAGGGAGACAAGGGAAAGAAGAGAAAAGAATGAGCCCAAACCAAGTGCCAGCAGCTGAAAAACCAGGGATACTTGGGTTCAAAGCAGCCACAGCCAGCCCAGTCAATCTTGCTTTGATAAGCATATTCCCTCCTCTAAGCCCACAAAGTCTGGTTAATGCTCCAGACTGCAAAGCCATTCAAACTGCAAGGCCTTCAGTTCAAGCTCACCAGTTGCTCCTTGGAAACCCTATACAGGGTCGCTATGGGTCGGAACCGACTCGATGGCACTTAACAACAACAATAACAAGCCCACAAAAACACACTTCCCTCCACGCCCACACTAACAAAAGGAAAGAATGCACCTGAAAAAGGAATAACATTTGGGTATGTCAAATGGAAAAAAACAAAGAAACAAACCTTATCTATCTTGAAATCTCACTAATCCTTAAAAAACAACTATTAGAAAGAGGTCCCAGTTTGGCCTTTATAAATCTTTAGAGCAGACACTACAGCCCAAGGAGAACAGATGGGAAAGGCAACTCTGCAAAAAAGCCTATTTTCAGAGAGCAGATGACCCTGGGATGCAGAGTGGAGGAACTGGAAAAGACCTGTGGCCATAATTACATTCCCAGGTGGTTGTTGTTAGGTGCCATCGAGTCAGTTCCGACCCATAACGACCCTGTATAGTTTTCAAGGAGCAGCTGGTGAGCTTGAATAGCAAACCTTGCCGCTCAAACCAACTTTGCAGTCCAGAGCATTAACCCACAGCACCACCTTAGGGGGGAAAAAATTCTTCCTGGATGACTTTTTTAAAAGGGGGAGACTAGGACAAAAGTAAGGTAAAAACAAACAAAAAGCATTAAGAGGAGGCAAAGCTCTGCTGAGTTATTTATTTCCCTTTTAATAGTGTCTTTGGCCTCAGCAACAATTAAACATAAATTTTCTCAAAACTAGAAGTCAGCTGACAGCTATCTTCTCCAAAGTCATGTAGTCAGTGAGACCATAAGTCCATATCCAGCCTTGTATCCCTTGAGACTATCTCAACAACCTGAAACAACATTATCATTCTGGAAACAATGGTTTTAAAGAAATCCTAAAAAGGGAAAGTTGACTATAGTCCTACAATACTATAAAAGGCTCTTGATAGGGCTGTTTTGCTCTGACATTCTTCCTTGTTGTTAAGTGCCCTGGAGTCGACCCTGTATAGGCTTTCCAAGGTTTTTAAAAAAATCTTTGCAGGAGCAGAAAGCCTCATCTTTCTCCCACAGCGTAGCTGGTGGAGTTGAATTGAAAAATCTGACATTCACATTTGCACACACACACAATTACACACCATTTTATAGGATTACCATTGCTGCATAAAACGGGATATATCCATGGCACAGGGTGTAGAATTGGGGGGGGGGGGAGAGGCATACTTCACTATGAAAAGATGATTGTTTTTCTTTTCAGAACTTTTCATTGTGAATCAGGTGTACATTAACAGAGCAGATCATCTGTTTTATATTAAACAATTCATACACATTTTGTTTTATCTCACTGACTGTAATCACCTCAATATAACATATAATATGGAGTCCTGGTGTGGCGTTGTAGGGTAAGTGCTGGACCACAAGGTCTATTTTAATCACAAGGTAGGCAGTTCAAACTCACCAGCCGCTCCTTAGAAACCCTACAAAGGGTGGCTATGAGTCAGAACCGACTCAACAATACTTAACAACAAACAACACAACAACAACAAAAATATATCTTATCCCACCTTCCCTCTCCCACCTGTTTTCACTCCTCCTTCTTTCCTAACCCTTCTGATCTTTATCCCCAGTGGTGCTGTTCTCCTTATAGATCTGTCTGTTGTTTGGCTAAATTTTAAAAGAAGTAAAAATTAACTCTAGAGGTTGAAGATTACAGAAACTGCTTTAAATAATAATAGTAACAATAATAACCATTTCCAGGGGATAATTCCACAAAAGCACTTTCATAAAGGGCTGGCTAGCAAGATCTAATCTGTGTGACTCTACAGGCAGAAAACAAAACACCTGTTCCAACACCTGACACTCCCCCTTCCCTCAGCAAAAACAATCTGACCTTCAGCTGAGTATAAAGGTAAATGCTAAAAAAGCCTCAAGAGAAGGGAATGGAGTTCTAACTCACACAAACATCCTCTTTTCAACAAAGTTTCCTTTTGTTCACTGTGTTATCAATGAAGCCAACTGGTTAAATTTATGTGCTCTTTCATTCATCACGTACTGCTGTTAAGGTGATTTGTCCTCATTACCTACTCCCATCTGTAAAATTCTAGAGGAAACAGTTAAATCACTGATTCACCCATTAAATGGGGATGGGGATGAGGGAAGTGCAGGAAGAGACAACAGATGGACAATGTCCTTGTTCTAAGGATTACTAGGCAACACATCAATATCGATGAGGTCTCCAAATCTGAAGGTGGTGATCAATTTGTCATAGGAGCCCTGGACTGCCTGAGAGCAGAGCAGCAATATACCACACTAGAGATTGCCTGAAATCCTGGTGAGGCTCTGTAGGATTAGCACTGGACTGCTATCCACAAGGTTGGTGGTTCAAACCCACCAGCTGCTCCTTGGAAACCATATACAGGGTCACTAAGAGTCAAAACTACATCGCTATTAGGTCCTCCACCCTATCCCAGGATCCAGAATTTTCTAGTTCACTCCTCTCTGGTTCTCCTCCACTGAGCTGACTGACTATATAGAAGAGAAACACGTGAGACAGAACTCTCTGACCAGGCAGCTCTTTCTGAGGGAGGGTAAGTAAGAGGCAGAAGTACACATTGAACCTAAAGGGAAAAAACAAAACTAATAAAAAACACCCAATGTCTTCATAAACCTTTTTCTATGTTGTCACGTGTCGTCAAATCAGCTCCTACTCATAGTGACCCTGTATAGGGTTTCCAGGAGCAACTTGGTGGGTTTGAACCACTGACCTTGTGATTCAAACAGACCCTGCGGTCCGGCGCTTTATCCTACAGCACCACATCAGGACTCTGTCTTCCCTTCTTTGGCATTAACTTGCCTGCTAAACTCCAACTTAGCAGCAGGTCATGGTAGTTGTTTAGTTAACTACTATTCTTAAAAATCCTTTTGAGAAAACAACCACCAAACCATTTTCTCAAAGCTCCTAACTCAAAGAATCTACACTAAAAAGAATCTACACAAAAGACAAGGCTATTACTATAAGAAATCCACTTTTTGTTTTACGTGTGCAACAACTAAATGTCAAGCCTATTAAATTGAATTGTATTATTTGTTGTTGTTTCATTCAGGCCATCTTCTGTACTTCTAGCTGCTCATCAGTCTCTGGCTCATCAGTCCACTAGGCACAGAGAAGCCCCTTGTTGAGTAAATGTGGAGCGAGTTAGAAAATGGTGCCCAAGTCGATCCTTCTATTCTCAAATTAATGATTTATTTAACTGATGACTGCCAGCTTTGCTGAGGACTTGTAAAGGTAGTTAAGAAGTATTCCCATTTACTTCTGTTTGCAAGGTTAATTGTTGGGAGCAATTGGGGTTTATGTTTTTTTAAACACACTTTGGAAATGTTAATTACCCGCTATGGGCATCTGGTTCACAGACTTGTGTATATAACAAAGAAAACAAATCAATCGAACAGATTAAAAACTGTTTAGAATACATTTAGGATAGTTGTTAAAAATCTTGGAATTGGTTCACACTCATAGTGAATAGTGACCCTGTATAGGGTTTCTGAGGAGCTCTGGTAGCGTAGTGGTTACGAACCAGGCCGCTAATCTCAAGGTCAGCAGTTCAAAACTACCAGCAGTTCCGCGGGAGAAAGATAAGGCTTTCTGCTCCTGTAAAGATTTACAGCCTCGGAAACCCTATACAGGGTCGCTAAGAGTCAGAACTGACTCCACGGCACATAACCACGACCACCACAGGGTTTTTGAGACTGCAAATCTGCGAGAGCAGAAAGCCTTATCTTTCTCCCTTAGAGCAGCTGGTGCTACAACCACCCAGACCTTACAGTGCACAGTCCAGTGTTTATACTGTCGTTGTTGTTGTTAAATGCCTTGAGCTCCAACTCATAACAACCCTGTATAGTGTTTCCAAGGAGCGGCTGGTGAGCTTGATTGCTCCCCTAGGATAGATAGTATTTCATTTAATATTAGTGGTTTGTTCTTGTCAGGTGCCATCAAGTCGGCACCGACTTGATGGCATAGCGACCTTATGCACAGCAGAACGAAACACTGCCCGATCCGGGGCCAACCTCACTACTGTTGTCACACTTGAGTCCATCAATGCTGCCACTTGGCCAATCCATCTCATTGGGGGTCTTCCTCTTTTTCTCTGACCCTCCACTTTACTAAACATGATCACGCTCCTGACACTATGTCTGAAGTATGAGAGACGAAGTTTTTGGCCATCTTGGCCTCCAAGGAGCACTCTGGCTGCACTTCTTCCAAAATGGATCTATTGGTTCTTTTGGCAGCCCGTGGCACTTTCAATATTCTCTTCCAACATAATAACTCAAAAGCATCAATTTTTCTACTGTCTTCCTTATTCACTGTCCAGCTTTCACATGCATATGAGGTTATTGAAAATACCATGGCTTGGGGTCAGAAGCACCTTAGTCTTCAAGCTAATATCCTTGCTCTTCAACACTTTAAAAAGGTCTTGTACAGCAGATTTGCCTAATGCAATACGTCATTCGAGAAACTACACTTAAAAAGCACCTGAATTCTAAGACTTGCCAAGGTCCTTCCTCCCCTTCCATATGACAAAGATAGCCATCATTGGAGAACATCTCCCAGGCTGGAGTCACTGATTAGAAAAGCCCACCCAATCAGCCTCTAACCCAGATTTTTTTTAAAATCTACCAAATTTCAAGTCTATTAAACTGTTTTATTCATTTTTTGCCATTCAGATGAACCTAACCATTTTCAACCCACAGAGATACGTCCATGAGTCATCCTTTGCTACCTCCATCCCTTATGCCAATTGCTAATTAGAGAAAGAAATGGGG